AGAACAAGGAATTCATGTAGAACTGGAAAATAGAGATTCTGAAAATGAAGAACCCAAAGAATTTCTCTACAGATTTCCTTAGTTAATGTTTTGTAATGATAACCAGAATCGTTGATCAAATTGTAGCAAACGATCCAGATTTTGAAAGGAGTGCAAAAGCAAGACAATGTGTTTTGGATGCCATCTCCTGCTACTGACATTAGCTTAAGAAAAGATAAAAGCAATGAATAACACTAGACAACTTCATCACAAAAAATGAACTTTACATTTCTGCATGCATATGTTTGTGTTATTTAACATATATTATTATACAAATTAATATAAAAATAACTTAAAATTAAAGTAAAATTTGTTTATTTTTGGTCGCATGTTTCCCTTTTCCTATTTATCCAGTGTTAAAATGACCTCTCTTAACGCTGTTTCATTTAGTGCTTTGTCATCTAGGAACCCATCCCCCGCTTAAGTGGGGTCTTACTGCATATATATATATATATATATAAAAATAAATAAAAATTAAAAATTGAAATATTTTACATTTTTATTTATATATCATTATTCATTATTTAATGTTATAGAATATATTAAATATTATAACAAAAATAAATAATGTGGAGAATGTTAAAAGAATTTTTAATTTTTTTCTTTGTTAGAAGTCGTCATGATCAGTACATTAGATTTAAAATATTCAAATTACATTAAATAATAAAGAATAATAATAGTGTTTACTGAAATTTTAAATCATATCAATTCTATATACATTGTATATAATAACTTCTTAGAACAGATTAAAATCCTAGATTATAAGTTAGTTTGTTTTTGTAAGTTATCAATGATAACTTATCATAAATTTACTTTGTAATTATTATGAAAATTCCAAGTTATAAGATTACTGTGATAATTTTATTTTATATAATGTTTTTGATTAATCATTTTCTCTAAATATTCAAATATAATTAAAAGTATCTTTTAAGAATAGTGTCATATAGCAGGTCAGGACTTGTCACAACAGAAATATATTAATTTAGTATAAAGAGAAACTAATTTCAATGGGTTTCAAAATTCAAAGTTATAAGGAATGAATAAATAAATAAATTCTGCTAATTTTAGGAAGCCAAACTTCGTATAAAATAAATGTTTTTGGTCAAAATATGATCATTCTCATCTTAAAATTTATTTCTTAAATCTTAATCTGAGGATGATTAAATTTTGACCAAAACCATTTCTTTTATTTAAGGAAAAGTTAGCTATTTGAAATTATAAAGGAAATTGCTTTTAGCCCTTGATTTAAACAAATTGATTAAAAACCTACTACTGTGAGGTAGGATAATTGAGATGGGGAGGCTTATTATCAGGAGGCTTGGATGAGGAAGGAGGCTGGATGGGGGCTAGGATGAGGAGGCTTATTATCACTGGTGTGATAAGTCCTTATTCCTACCTCACAGTAGTAGGTTTTTAATCAATTTGTTTAAATCAAGGGCTAAAAGCAATTTCCTTTATATTTAATTTATAGAATAATTTGCCTAGATCCCAGTTGATATTTGAGCACAGACCCTCATATATATAATGATGAAATCTATTGTCTTAATACTAACATCTGGCTGGTAAGTGATGTAATGAAGGTTGGCCATTAAGTTGTTTGTCACCACTTGTTCCCCAGATGTTGCCTGTAACACACCTCTCTCATAACTGTTCTACATCTTGTAGCAATACCACCTTCAAACTCCAGCTTACTACTGTTATGGTATGTAGATTTAACTTATTTTGTAAAACAATCATCATATTATCTCACTAATTTTTAATACTGTTTATAATAGTATCCCTCATGTCAAGCTACCATTTAACATAATGAAGCCACCTTAAGCCTGTTCCTCTACACCCAATTATTACTCAATAATCATACTTTTATAACGGTTTCTTTGTCTTGTATAATTCTAAGTATCTCACCTTTTTTATATATGTATACCAACTGAAGAGGGACTATTCCGATAGTCCGAAATGCATTTTGGTTATTTCATGTCAATTATTAATTTAATAGTTTGTAATGTACACCCATTCTCGTTTTATTAAATGTATCCCATTGATATTTTGAGTGTTTGTGCTTATTATCACTGGTGTGATAAGTCCTTATTCCTACCTCACAGTAGTAGGTTTTTAATCAATTTATTTGAAATTAGCAGAATTTTATTTACAAAAATAGTGCCAAGTTTTATAATCTATTATTATAGATGAACAAGATAATCATGCTAAGAATGAAAAGCTTACTATGTCAAATACATTAAAAGGATAGTTCTTGTCACTAGTATAAAATTTGGTTTATCTGTCTGATAATGATTATCATTATCACATTAACATTTTCCTTCCATTTCTGGTACTGCATTTTCTTGTGGTTATCATTTTCAAAACTAAATCTTTTCCTGAAAGTATCACTCATTTGTTCTGAGAAATATACCATTTTTAAGTTTTGCTGAATTTTGTTTTCCATTTGTTAAAAATCAAGCATTAATAGAAAAAAAATCAGGTTCTTAATTTACTTTTATAAACTATATCAGTTTTATTTTCTCAAATTCTAATGAATCATTGCCCCCCTTCAAAATAGTATTGCCCCCTTTAATAAAATCGTTACATAGTATCACCCCCTGCAATAAAACCGTTACGTAGTATCACTCCCTTCACTACAAAATTCCGATGCCGAGGGACAAGGCTAACGCCAAATTCGTACTGCATTGAATAGACTAGTGACTAAAGTTATTTGTTTAATTATTGTACAATATAACAAATAAAATATCTAATTATTTTTAATATAATGTTTTACTATATTGCCCAGAAAATTGTTTTTTGCCCTCCCAAAATATAAATTGTTACTAATTGCCCCCTCAACATGGAAAAACACCCACATGGGGACAATATCACCCCCGTTGAGAAACACTGAACTATATGAAATAGTATTTTTTTAAAAGATTTTATAAGATTAAAACATCAAATAGTATTATTTTTTGGTATAGATTTTTCAAAGTATCATAGTTTTAAAAACTAATAATATACAAGTTGTTGGAAATCAGTTGGTGTAGCCTTTATTGCACTCAAATTTCATGACATTCAACAAGAATGTTAGCAAAGCCTCTTCTATGTGGCTTACAAAATTGTTTTTGTTCTCAAAATTTGATTGATTAATTTCGATTAAACTGTGCCATTTTCTATTTATTGCAATGAAGAATCCAAAAGTGTAATAAAAAATAGGGGTCCATGACTTTGTTTCTGAGATACAGCGGGGTCAAAGTAACAATGCCCATGCTCCCTGACATGATTGAGCATACTTAATGGAAGTTAGGGAACAAAAATAAAAATAAAGCATTGTGTGCACCTAATGTAAAATGTATGCCAAAAACGAAAAAAACACAAGAACAAAGTGATTGTAATGATTGTACATGCCTGGCAAATGTAAGGATCACCTCTTCATGGCCAACAAGAGTAAGGATTGCCTTCTTGGGAGAGTATGTGTGATCAGATTTTCTTCTTATCTCTCAAACATGCATGCACGCACACAGGCACATCCTTACATACACATTCAAACATGTATCAGCACTCAGGTTAGATGGAACAAAAGATAATTTATATATACAGTAAGACCCTGCTTAATGTGTGGGATGCATTCCTAGACAACAAACCACTAAGCAAAACAGCGTTAAACATGATCATTTTAACATAGAGTAAATAGGGATAGGGGAACATTCAACCAAAAATAAACAAATTTTACTTTAATTTTAAGTTATTTTTATATTACTTTGTATAATAATATATGTTAAATAATACATAAACATATGCACACAGAAATGTAAAGTTCATTTTTTCTGATGAGGGTCCTGGCTCTTCTGAAATTCTTGTTGTTTTGCAATAAAGTCGTAAAGTTTCATTTGTTGCTTTTTTCTTTCCTTAAGCAAATGTCAGTAGCAGAAGATCGCATCCAAAATGTCATTTCTTGCTTTTGCACTCCTTTTAAAATCTGGGTCATTTGCTACAATTTTATCAACAATTCCGGTTATCATTACAAAACATTAACTAAGGAAATTTGTAGAGAAATTCTTTGGGTTCTTTGTTTTCAGAATCTCTATTATCCAGTTCTACCAAGGAAGATTGTCGTTGGTAAGGATCTCACCATAAACCTGCAGTAACTCCTCAATATCCTGCTCATCTACATCTCCTAGTCCTGCTGTATCAATTAGGTTGAGTTTGGTCAACCTAACGATACAGTGATAGGCTCTTCTCATTGAGAATTCTTGGATACCTTCAGCCATAACTTCTTCCACACTTCGTGCATTTATCAGTTAATTCTTGCCAAGGGAAGTCGATATTACCTATAGCATCTATGATGATATATTTTTTTCCAAAATTGCACCAAACATAGATTTAAAGAAAGTACACCTTTTTGCCACCTTTTTCTGATTGGTTCATGTTCATGAATAATTGGATTATATACGAATGAATGAAATGCTGCAATTATTTAAATCAGTGTAAATTTTGAGTTTATCTTTTTTTTTTTTTTTTAGGCTTCAAGTAGACTGCATTATATCAAATTAGCATTAAGCAAGGCAGCATTAAGTGGGGTCTTACTGTACTAATACTGTAATTAAAACATTTTTTATTACAAAAACACGTTTCACCTCAATTCTATTGTAATATGACAAAGTTGCACAGTGTTCCTAGTTTATTTAGATGAATCTTTATTCATCTAAATAAACTAGGAACACCATGTCAAATTAACTTTTTAATAAGTTCTATCTTTATCTATATGAACAGTAAGTGAAATAAATTTCATAACCATGTCATTTCAAAAATTCTAATGAATTTATAAGGAACATATTTTTCATAACATACTATTTATTTATTTATTAATTATTTTTATAAACATTTTCTATAAAATTTCTAATATTTCTATATTAATTTCTATAAAATAATGTTCTAAACATATATCAATTTTTATTATTGCTTTTGTTATAATTTAGGATGGGAACACAGGACTACTAATACGATATCATAAATTTGAATATGTGCAGATAACGGTTGTATCTGAAGATCTTAATAATCTATTCTTAAATGATGATGTTTTTTAATATTTACATTTTTAATAATGATGAATCAATTGAAAATTTTTTAGATATTAATTTAATAATGGAGATGAAGAATAGTAATGAAATTACTGAAGATACTAAAGATGTAGATTTTAAAGATGATAATGTAGAGAAATATTTTGAAGATGAGTTTGAATCTGATTCTGAAGATAACATTCCTAAAAAAAATGAAAATAATCAGAAAAGAAAAAATAACAAAAAAGGTAAATAATTTTTAAATATGTTTATTAGAAGTATTGTAAACATTTTTATAAAATGAATAAAAGATGATAAAATTATATTAGAAACTATAAATTTGATAAATTTTGGAAATACATTATTAATTATTTTTGCTCAGAAATACAAAAATGCAATACATAATGGCATTTAAGATCAGGAGCAGTTTTCCATGATATTATGCACAGAAAGTTTTAAGACATTATACTTGGTGTTTCAGAAATGTTTGGCAAAATTTTGCAGGCTTGTAGAAGAGAAAACTGAATAAAAAAGTCAAGAACTTTTTTAATCTGAGCTTAATTAGCAAGTTATCAAACATTAAAGTGTCACTACACTTTGACACACAATAACTTGTCATTTCCATTTTACATTAATTAGCATCATTCCATTTTTTTAAATTTAACTATGCAATGTAATGGTAATTAAATTTGTTTACTAATCACAATTTCTTTATTTAACATCTTTCTTTTAATTAATTCTATTTTTTAAGATATTAAAAAAATTTTCAAAAAACTGATTTTCTAATCTAAGCTTGTGAACATCACAGCAAGTGTTCAAAAAACTCCCAAGATCATCCATGCAGGTCTACCTTAGTATCTTCACATTGATTGTCAAACACACTCAAATATAAGTAAACCAGACATACATATAACTTTCAACAGTCCAGTGTGGTGGTCTGCCATGTTTTTTTTCTTGTCTTCTCTGCCCACCCCCTTTTCATATGCTCTTTCCACCCTTTGTCTGTTATTTGTATTCATGTCCAGGCTAGTTCTAATATACTAGTAGCCTGGGACACCCCCCCTAGGGGCGTTATTTACAAATTTCCATCAGGCATGGTTCCTTTCACTTTTTTGTTCCTATCAATATGCTCTACAGCTCTGTTAAAGTCCCAATGGTAAGATTTACCCTCCGAATGAAGAGGTGGCGACCCCCCCAAACTGTAGCCCCTGTGCGAACAATAAAGTCAAAGGAACTATACCCCTACTCGTGACCCTTTGCGAGATATAAGCCCCTGAAATAATAAATTCCTATTACAAATATACTGAATTATTTATATTGTTATATTGACCAAATAATAATTTATTGGCCAAATGAATAATAATAATTCATATTGTTAATTTAAATAAGAATTAAAATTGTTAATTTGAATGTTTGAAATATGACACACGATAGGGACGCCTCTAGTGTCCGTTATCAAACGGTTACGGGATAGACGGACACCGTTGAATGGGTTATATATATAGATGGTGTTGAAGTAAGGATCCCTGCTGAGGGAAACTGGTCTGGACAATGGGAAGGATATATCTGAGGGGTTCAAGCAGAGGAGAACTCGCTTTGGGTCAATTCTTGGATGAGAATAGAAGCAAGAACTCAAGAGGATTGAGGTAGATAAACCATGGAAAATGTCTTGAGTGAGAGTGGCACTGGGCTGAGAAAGATATTATTAAGAGGAGACAGAGCTTCAGCTAAAGCTCAAGGAACTACAACACTGAGACTTGAAGTGTTCAGCCACCTACTGGCAAGATAATATTTGTATATTTAGTTTCGTAGTTTTAGGTATAATTGTAACTCAGTTATTATTAGTCCCATTTTTGTAATTAATTCAATTTGACCCTTGGGAACCTTCGTTTAAATTAGTTTTAGCTGTTGGGACGTACATGAATTCAATTCATTGCCTTACTGGATTGGCTGATATTTCGGGGTCTAGTAGTGACGGTTTTGTTTTATTAAATCATTTTTGTTTTTCAAAAGGTATTTGTGTACTTCTTTTGTCACTATTCCCAACAAAAGTTCAAAGGTCATTTTGAAACTTAACATTAGTTTCTTAGAACTTATGCATTTGCAGTTGGAATAGCATAAACCAAAGATTTTAATTTCAGTAGAACGTTGATTATCCAAAACATCAGTTAACCGAAAGCATTCCAATCGGACTGTGTCACACTGAATCAAATGTTTTTGATACTAGATTAACTTCTAAAGTATAATTTTATTGTTTTTATATTTTTCAATATATTTATTTTGTTTGTACAAAATAAAGAAATAATTTTTAATGACACAATAGCCACGATTATTATTATAAAAATTTTCATTGGGTTTAACATTGACGAAAATTCAACTCAAAGTGACACGCAATGGAGAAAAATTTAAACATGGGATATATTAATATACTATTATTGAGATATACTAATATACTATATTAATAATGTATTTTTTTGTACATAATCGGTTATCCAAAAAATCGATTTTTTTACCTAGAACAACCCCAGTACCCAATTGATTCGGATAATCGACTCTCTACTGTATTCCTATAAGAAAAAATCTAGATGATTTAAAGAAGGAGAGTATATAGACTAAGGTATTAGTCTTCCTTTTCCATCCACCTCTTCAGATACTTAATATCAAGATATTTTTGTGCACAACAACAGAAATGTGCTAAAACTTGTTATGTGCAAAGTACATTTGATGTTGAATATTTTTGACCTGTGAGTGACCTGCAAAATGATTGGGCCAATCAAATTATTTCAACTATTCCAGTCTAAATGTTTCAGATATCAAGACTAGATGATAGCATGAAGATTTTTCTGAACCCATAGATGATTGTTGTGAAAATTTACAATTACATTTCGAATGAATATTGCTTCATCTATGAAAAGCACATTCCTGAGAAAACAAAGATTGATACTTTTTTGCAGATACACAATTTGACAAAATTGTACTCGTTGAAGAAAAGTGTGGTGTAAGTGCTTTGCTATAAATGGTATAGATATAATTGGTATTTACAAAGAATACACCATATACTTGATTGAGTGGTGCTTATTGTTCTATCTGTTTGTCTTTTACTTGTACTAGGATCATCACCATTATTCTAGCAATAATTTTGCTCCTCCACATGTTTGTACAATTCTTATTCTTCCTCTATCAATAGTGATTATTGACAGTGTCCCCATTTCTCAAAGAATAACTGTAAAGATATTCTTGGCTACATAATGTCTTTGCAGAAAAGTTTCCTGATAGAGACATTGGGTTTCATGTAAGTTCTGATTTGCTCAATCATACTTGAAATGGCTATGTCATTGCAGCATTAGAGTAATGGATCATCACGTTAAAGATTAAAGAACAGTACCAATTTGAAGCTTAAGACAGACAAATTTGCAAGGCATTGTTGAGAACAGTGGTTTGTGAATAGGTAAATGTAACTTTCAAACACTCTATATTTGATTTAAAGGCAATGACCTTTAAATTTATTTTTCTTCATATCTAAAAAATAGATATTAATTAAAAACTGAGCTGTTTAATAAAAAATTGCGATTAGTAACCAAATTTAATTACTGATACATTACATTGTTAGATTTAAAAACAGGAGTGACATCACTACATTTTGATGCTTAATAACTCATTAATTAATCTTCCAATCAAAACATGACCCTTGACTTTTTTATTCAGGTTTTCTCCTCTATAAACCTATGAAATTTAGCCAAACATTTCTGAAACATTTTGTATAAACCATTACCAGGTCTCCAAGATGGCTATATATTTTTATACTGATAAACAGTATTTTTACTAGAAAGTTAGTTAACTGAAATATATTCAAGAATGATTAAAAACCGTTGCACTTTTAATGAAATGACTAGAAAAACAAATAATAATATGCAGCTATTTGAAACCAATTTTAACATTCTTAAAATAATCTTAAACCCCTATCTCAGTTAACTGACTTTTGTACCATTCTATTTGTGGTTTACAGTAATTGAATCCATTATGAATTATTATAGTTCTTCTAAAAAGAAGATGGAGTGATAATCCAACAATTATTAGAAGAAATAAAATTAAAACTTCTATTAGAGATGTAAAACATGTCTACAGTGCTAAAGAACACTCTTATGCTACTGAACGACTTCTTTCAGCAAAGAAACATGAACTTACTGATTTGAATAATAGAATTAAAGATTTAGAGAGACAATTAAAGGTAATTTTTAAATATTTTAATTATTTATTCTACAGAAATTAGCTGAAAGTTTTGTTGAACTCAAATGGCTGTGAAATTTATGATGTTACAAAAGTAACAGTTTAATAATAATAAAGAAAGTGTAAGTGTTTCATGGATAAATATTTCAAACACCCTCTTGTCTCTGCATCAACAAAGAAGTTTAGGTACATAAAGGAGTGTATTAAGAGACTGATCCTCAAGAAACACCACTCAGATGGCCTGTATGTCTTCTATCCAGACCTTGCAGCTGTGCATTACTTAACAAATACAGTTTCTGTGCTATAGGAATAGGGAGTCTGTTAAGTCAGCAAAGAGAACAATATTAAAATGTTTCTCAGCTGCACCCAGTTGAATGATTAGTACAGCTGAAACAGAAGGTGTAAGAAAATGGATGATCTGACAAAAATAAAGTGGAACTGAAATAGCATATCAAGTCCAAACACTGATGACTGGTGTCAAGACTAAAATCAGAAAAGCCAACAATTGAGAATGAGATGCCATAATTTAGAGGCAGAAGAAACTAATTTCATCAGTTTTGTGTTACTGAATAATCATATTGTAAAAATAAAGAAGCTTGATTTTTGTGCAGATTTTTTTCTTTACACACCTTTAGTTTGAAATATACAGGTATACCTCGCCTTACGTCGGTAATTGGTTCCAGGAAAACGACGTAAGTCGAATTTGCTTGTCTCCGAATCTACTTATCACTAGGCTAAACCGTAAATTACCATTCCCGATTCTGTATTTTATTTATTAATGCATTTTTAATAATATATGGTTAATAAAAATCTATTTTAAGCTTACAAACAAATAAATTTTAGTTTTTAATATAGTACAAAAAAAGTAATCTAAATTTATGAATGCATGTACTGTAAATACAGTACATACTTGTATATATTTTAATATGATTTTATGTGCTTTAAACGTTTATCTAGTGATATTATGACTTCAATATTTGTGGCGGACAGACGTAAAGTCGAATAAAATGACTTAAACTTGATTTTTATTTTTCCATATACTTTTTTAACAAGCGACGTATAATCGGGAACGACGTAACTCAAAACGACGTAAGTCGAGGTATGCCTGTATTGTATATTTTGATGGTTAAGACATAATGAAATACATTCAGTACAGTATGTTTCTAAATGGTTCATGTAATTAGATTTGAAAACAGTCTTTAAATTAATTAAATGAAGTAATTTTTTTTACCTATTTTTTGTAGTTCTAAACTTTTTCTTAGAATAATTGATTTGATAACATAAATTTAGTGTATGAAATATAATAATTGACTGTTTTTATAATATTAATTTTCTAATTTAATTTGAAAATTAATAATTTTGCTAATCATTTCAAATTAGGAAGTGCATCAAGAAAATAGACTTTTAAAAAGATTTCAAGCAAGACAAGAAAGAGAATTTTTTAAAATTGAAACTGCAAAAGGAGAATTACCAGATATTTTACAATCACATAGTGAAGAAGTATATGCATTAAAAAAACATGTGAAAAAAGGAAGAGAAAAAAATAGGTATATTCAGTTTATTTATTAGATAGAAATATTAGAAAAAAGTTATTTAGATTGCTGTAAAACTGACAAGAATATACAGGAAACCCTCATTAGTTTGAAATTCAAGGGACAAAATAATCGCAACTTCAAATTATTGAGTTTCAATTATTCGAGATTTACATATTTCTGCCATGCCGTGTAATTTATTAAGATACCAGAATACAGCTATGTATGCAGAATGCTACTTTCATTAATTAATAATTATTCATAACATTGTAAATAAATTGCAGGTAAACAGCATGTGGCTCGTGAGAACATCACAGATTGCCAGATAGGTTTTATAAAAAGTAAAGCAGAATTCTCAAAATGTAGCCCAAATTGTTTTTAAAGTTGCCCAAAAAACATTAAGTTGCCCAAATCTAGTAGCATAGAGCCCTGTAAATATCTGAATCTGCTACTTGTAGCCCAATCTTTCAACCTCAAAACTTATCCATATTTTATGAGGTAATAGGAAAAAAAAGATAGTCAATGGTATGATGATGGCCAAAAATGTGTACTGTAAAAGCAAAGCCACATTGACCAGATTACAGTTGTTTTTAGTCTATTATTCTACTGTAGTATGGAGGCAAGTAAACTTCAATCTAATGTACAAGTTAACATATTCATATCACAGTTTGGACAAAATTTTCACTTTGAATTTCAAAGTAGCTGTATTTTGAACTAACCAAATTCCTTAACATATAAACCTCTATATTTTCAGCCAGAATAAATAGTAGTTATGAACTAATGGGATTTCAAACTATCACAATTCGATTGTTAAGACATAATGAAATACATTCAGTACAATATGTTTCTACATGTAAATGGTTCATGTAATTAATTTGAAAACAGTCTTTAATTAAATGAATGCTAAATGTTTTTTTTTCACTTATTTTTTTTATCGTTCTAAACTTTTTCTTGGAATAATTGATTTGATAACATAAATTTAGTGTGTGAAATATAATAATTGATTGTTTTCATATTAATTTTCTAATTTAATTTGAAAATTAATAATTTTGCTAATCCTTTCAAATTAGGAAGTGCATCAAGAAAATAGGCTTTTACGAGGGTTTCCTGTATTTGTCTTTTCATATAATTTTGTTTTCAGTATCAAGAAGGTTTATTTCCTTACAAAATAATGTTTATTTTGTAACTTTTTTATATATTAATTTCACTTATACAATATCATTATATTGGATGGCCAGATGGTCAAGGCAAGTTAAGGCATCAGCCTATTGCTCTAGAGGATCTATGATAAAAAGCCAGGAATTTTTTCTAGGTGATCTGCTGTCTTAGATATACTGGGCCATGTCCTTCATCAACTGGTAATCCTCATTATGGGCATAGTCAAATCCATGGTGGACATGTTAAAAAGGTCCTCTTAGTTCCCACATGATAGAAAGAGTCAAGATATCTTTTTACTTTTTTAATTTATGAATGTACCACTATAGTATAATCTATAAAAAGATGCTAGTCTGGTTGATTTAAAATATTCTTTAAATTGTTAATAAAAATTACTGTTATTATTACAGTTTAATTATTTTATTTTGTTCATAGTTTTTGAAATAGATATTTATATTAGAAGAAAAAATTTAATATAAAAGTTATTTCTGAAAGAGATATTCTAAAATAAATTATAGGATAAATTGGTTTTCAGATAAAACTTCATATATATTGTTTTTGTTTTTATTAATAATGCACTGGAAAATTTAAATTTTGTGGTTGTATGCAGACTGAATTAATGCATGTTTTTTTTTTATGGAATGATTCTATTATTGTCTATAGCATCGTAAATACAGTGGTGTGTTATCCTATGGGCAAAAATGGCAATTGCCTGGGGTCTTCACAAATAGGGGGTCCCAAACCAATGTTTTATAAGAAAATATTTCCATAAAAAATTCCCCCAAAGTAAAAAGTCTTAAGTCAATGCTGTATATGGAGCTCTCTAATTCAAAGTCAGCTGGGCACCATGAAGTTATAACACGCCACTGAGTAAATAACATTTTTAATAATAATTTCATAAATTGAAATAATGGTCAATATTATTTATTAGAGAGTTGACACAAAGTCTTAAAGCTAAAAATATAGAAATTCAGTTATTAAAGATGGAACTAAATGAATTTAAACAATTATGTGAAAAGAAACAACTCCCAGAAAGAGAAGAATTGCAAAAGAAAATTGAACATTTAGAAAAAGAACTCTGTTATCAAAATGCTTCAGTTCAGGTTAGTTAGAATATTTATTATGCATTTGGTTTTTAGACTAAAATATTTAAATTTAATAACTTTAAAAATATGTAAAAGAACAAAAAATAGTAATTATTATAGTTGTAGTTTTAATCTACATAAATTAAAACTGTAGCAGTCAAAATGTTTGTGCTGCATCACAGGAAAACGCCTGAACATATTTTAATCAAACTTTATATTTTGAATCTGTCAATTCATGAGAAGGTTTATATATACACATCATCTCAAAATCTACATTAATTAAATTAAACTGTAATAGATTTCTGTCTGTCTATTTGTCTCTCTCTTCACTAGATGGCAACACATGAATTAGTACTTCCTGTTAAGGGGTTATCTATAAGAAAGGTGCATTATTGAAGTTTACTATTATATTTGAAAAACTGACATTAAAAAAATAATTAGTTAATTAGCAAAATCTTCGAGGCATTAAAAAAAGTGACGTCATTATGCTAGATGGCAGTATATGTACTGTACAGTACATATGGCTGGTTTTTCGAACCGTTACATATTGTATTCATGATTTGTTAGACCTGACTGTATTTGTGTGAGTTTTATTTATGTGTGAGTGACGATTATGCCTACTCGGAAATGACAAAACTTTGGCCAATCTTTGAGGAAAAGTAAACAGGTAAAGTTGTGTAGAGATTCAGAGAACCCATCTTTGAGACAGGCTAGGTTTAGTTCTCAGAGAGAATGGCAAGCCAGTCTGCGAGTCTTTGAGATTGCTTCTGAGTGTACAAGGAGTACTATGATTCTTTTGTGCAAAAAGCTCCGAAGTATCTTCATTTATGACCCTCTTTTAGACTATTCATCATCAGCTAATAATGGGTCTGTGGATAAAGTATATGGATATTGCAGTGCTCTGAAGTGGAAGAATGAATCGCAGGGAATGTGCTGCTCTTCTGGCAAAGTTAAACTTGATGATGCTCTTGCCTCCCAAACCTCTTCTATGACTATTAAATGAGACTCATCCTGACACTAAACATTTCTTAAAAACATTAGGGCTTACAATAGTGTCTTCCAGATGACAAGTTTTGGTGCCACTAAAAAAAACTTGAAAGAAAGTTCATGCCAACATTCAAAATTCAAGGACAGATTCATTTAATAGCATACCATTAATCCTGACAAACTACCCATTCGAATTTAAATGCCTACAATTTACAGTCAGTCTATGCTTTGCAATGACCATTAACAAGTCACATGGCCAACTCTATGTTGAATGCTCACGTGTTAGTAGCTTATCTAGAAAATATTCCACATCTTTAATAGGATTATTATGAATCTGTAACAAGCAATTCTCTGCAGATATACTCTTTAGGTAAGTAAATATAATTTCATGAAATAAGTATATCTCGTCAACGACATGAAACATGACTAGAAAACAATATTTGTAATGAATAAAATTAATATAAAATTTAATACAAAATATAAAAAAAGTAGAATATTAGCTTTCAACTGAAAATTTAATATAAATTTATAGCAAATATTAAAGTAAAAATTAATAAAAGTATCTTCAATAAAAATTAAAGAATATTAGAAAGTTTTGGTAAAATATCTTCTTTTAAATTCAGATGTATAAAATTAGGTTTAGGAAGCTAGAAACTTTAAAAAACAAATATGTAAATTTGTATTTAGATGTTATAAAAGTGATCTTAAACATGTGACATAGAGTTAGCATTAGTAAAGTGGCTCATAAAGACTGTAGAGCTGCAACCCTCCTAGAAATGTTGGAAATCAGACTAAACTGGCTATAAAAGAAGTTAGAAGAAAAATAAATACAAATCAATCAGAACTGATATTACATTCACTTATAGTAACATTTAGATTAAGTTATAAAATACAATTGCCTAGCATTCAAAATTGGCCACAGTACATCCACACCATATACCTAAATATTTTTTTGTTACATTTTAAAAAATTATATAAAATGAAAATTAATTGTATTTCTCGATTTTAAAAAATATTTAAAATACTGTACTAAATTATCTGAAAAAAAACAAAAGTTAAGAAGACATGTTTATGGTTTAAAACTGAAGGCATATCAATTCTATTGCAATTTGCGTATGAGATATTACAGTTTTGAGCTATATGCAAATCACACAGGGTCAACAAATGAGTAACATTGTTATAACAGCCATATTTTTACAGATCAACAATGCAGTATTGTATATAATATGCAACAGAAGAAAATATATAGATGCAATGCAGTTTAGGCCTGCACAGTACAGTATACTATGTAATAGGTATCCAATTTTCTGTGGAGACATTTATTTTTGAATTTCAGTAAAACAAACAACTGAATAATAATTTGTTGAAGTACACACAAATGACTATCATACAAATGATTCTAAATTACAAAAAAATAAATTGTTCTGTAAGCTTAAATTATTGAGTCCATGGGCTATTATAAGTTTGAACCACTGAATAAGTCATGAAGTACATTAGAATAAATTACTTGTCAAGCGGAAAAGAATGTTTCAGAGGGGAATTTATATCTACATATATTAATTTGTAAATATCAGATTGTTAATCAGTTTACAGCTGAAGATACAAATTATAATGATGGTTCTGGAAAGAGAGAAGAATTACAGTCAAAAAATGAAGATTTCAGAAGTAGCTCCTAACACATAGAACTACAATATGACACGATGATGAATGTAATACAGTAGAGTGTCGATTATCCGAATCAATTGGGGACTGGGGTTGTTCGGAGAATCGATATTTTGGATAACCAATTATGTATGAAAAAATATATTAATTTATCCCATGTTGAAATTTTTCTCCGTTGCATGTCGCTTTGCGTTGAATTTTCGTCGATATTAAGCCTAACGAAGACTATTGTATCGTTAAAAATTATTTTTTTATTTTGTACAAACAAAATAAATATATTGAAAAATATAAAAACAATAAAAAATTATACTTCAGAAGTTAATTTAGGATCAAAAACGTAAAATATTTGAGTAGCCCAAGACATAGCCAAAGATTGCAGTGCCACAGCACTGGCGAAAATTTAAATTTGCCGACTGGAATTCTTTCGGATGATTGACTTTCGGATAATCGACGCTCTACTGTATTGATATTTATAAAATTTTAATAGATATTACAACAAAGAAGTGAAATAAAAATGGGTTAAAATAAACCTTATTATATGAGTTTTAAAATAATAAATAGCTAATTATTGTCAGTGTAGTCAGTGTATTTTATTCATTAAATTTTTTCAATTAATAATTTAATACACTGCTGGCCATTAAAATTGCAACACCAAGAAGGAAAGCAAATAAAAAAAAAAGATATTTATTGTACATAAACAGTATGGCATGAAGACAAAATGATTAAATTTGCAAGCCGTTTGGGGGTTTACAGGGGTTCGAAATTAGTAGACACAGTTGCTACCCCTGGCAGCTAAAACGGCCCTTATCCGGTTAGGCATAGAGTCAAACTGGGCTTGGATGACAGAAATGGCCAACTTGTTCCATGCTGCTTCAAGTCTATGCTACGCTTCATTGACTGTATTAGCAGGAGAGGGGTGGCGGGTCAGTCTCTCAGCAACCCATGACCAGATGTTTTCAATTGGTGAGAGATCTGGAGACCGTGCAGGCCAGGGCAACAATCGAATACCCTCTGTATTGAGGAAGGTCAGAACATGACGTGCAACATGAGGTCTTGCATTATCTTGTTGGAAGATGGCATTTCGCAGGCCTCGAAGATAGGGCACAACCACTGGACGTAAGATGTCAGAAATGTACCGATCTGCATTCAAATTACCGTCAATCCGAACTAGAGATGTGCGTGTAATGTACCCAATGGCTGCCCATATCATCACACCAGGTGCAGGGCTTCTATGCCAATATCAAATACAAAATACAAAGAGGTAACGAGCGGTCTCCTCGGAGCCTCCAGACATGTATACAGCCATCAGAATGCTGCAAGCAGAACCGGGACTTGTCTGAAAAGACAACATTGTGCCACACCTGTATCCAGCTTTGTCGTTGGGCGCACCAGAGTCGCCGTCTCTCTCTATGCTGCATTGTCAAGGGAAGCCGAAGTAATGGTCGCCGTGCTGACAGTCCATGCTGCTGCAAACATCGTCGCACCATACGAGCAGATACTGGACATGCTGCAAACAAGCACATTTCCTGTCTAATGGTCCATGATGTGGTTGTACGGTTTTGCACGGCCGACCTCACAATGTGTCTATCCTCTCGGGCGTTAGTCATGGGAGGGCGTTGAGATCCTGCATGCCGTTCAGTAAGATCCTCAGCAATCCATCGATTCCATATTCGCATGACAGTGGTTGGATTTCGACCAGTGCGAGTGGCAATATTACGGAATGATAATCCACACTCTTGATAGGCAACAATCCTGCCTCTATCGAATTCTGACACTTGCTGGTAAGCATTTCTTCTTCTTATTCGAGGCATAACACGATATTCTGATGAAACCCCGACCTTACAAAGCGATTTCCAAATGAGAAATCCACTGCACAACTTTTCTTTTATGCAGTGCTTCAGATGTCGTTTGTCCCTCCTGCTTCGTCTAAATACGCTGAAATACTAATCATTTGTATATTCCAACCTCTTCTTCCTTTCATATGATTTTGACGTTCGTACGATCATTCCTGGTGTTGCAATTTTAATGGCCAGCAGTGTAGATTACTTACGATAAGATCTCCTATTCAATTGTATGCTTATATGTGATTTATAATATATGTTATTTACATTTAATATTTCATAGTCATAAACAGATAGTTTACTCTTTTACTTAATCACAGATTAAATAATGCAGAAATTATCTATTGAATTTATGATTACAGTTGATACAACTGAAACTGACTATGATTATATTTGCTTTGTTAATTATTAATCAATCATATTTATGTAAAAAATATAATATTTTAATAGTATTTTCAGTTATTGTTAGTTCACAACACATATGAACAAAAAAAATCTTTATTTATATAATAATATATAAGATGTTTTATAAATAAAAGTTTATTTCTTTTCAGGAGCTAACAAGAAAATTGCAATTAGCAAACAAAGTTCATAAGCAGGAAATGTTAGCTAAAGTAGCTCATTTTAAACAATCTCAAGAGCAATTGACTCAACTTCAAGTTAAATATGAAGAACTGAAGTTATGTTTAAAAGTAAATAAAATATCATAGTTAATTTTAAATACGTTTATTTTAAAAATAATTTATAATAAATTATATATATTATGCAAACTAAAATGTTAAAAAAATTATTCAAAAATATACTTACCAGGTGTATAAGCTTAAATACGCTGTTTGCTAATAGATGGCATTAGCGAGCGTATTAAGTTACCATGACAATGCCATATTGTTTTTTTGATGATTTTGACATCTGTCAACATTAATCAGTGCACATCATCAGATATTTCATACAACAACATATATTTTTTTTTTTTGTAATCATGTCTACTTTTGTGCCAGAAAAAAAGCATATGCGGCAAGCTTTGCTTTTCTGCTTTAATTTGAAGAAATCGGCTGCCAAAGCACATCGAATGCTTGTGGAGGCTTATGGAGACAGAGCTTTATCGGAAACCACGTGCAGAGATTGGTTTTGTCAGTTCAAAGATGGAAATTTTTACCTGAGCGACAAGAAGCATGAAAATCAGCCCAGGAAGGTTGAGGACCATCAACTGCAGGTTCTTTTGGATGAGGATGATACCCAATTGCAAAAAATGCTTGCCAAACAAGTGGGTGTTACTCAACCAGCCATTTCCATGCGTCTACGTGCCATGGGAAAGATTCAGAAGATTGGAAAATGGGTGCTGCATGAATTGAACGATAGGCAGATGGAGCGACGCCAAAACACATGCGAAATCTTGCTCGCCAGACAAAAAAGAAAGTCGTTTCTGCATCGGATTGTAACTGGCGATGAGAAATGGATATATTTTGAGAATCCTAAATGCAAGAAATCGTGGGTTGATCCAGGCAAACCATCAACATCTTTCCCAAGACCAAATCGCTTTGGATGGAAGACAATGCTGTGTGTTTGGTGGGATCGTAGGGTATTGTCTACTATGAGCTGTTGAAACCTGGTGAAACTGTCAATGCTCACCACTACCACCAACAACTGATCAAATTGCACTGTGCTCTGCGTGAAAAAAGGCCGGATTATCAGCAAAGACACGACAAGCTGATTTTCCTCCACGAGAATGCACCATCGCATGTGTCAACATTGGTCCAAAACTACTTGGAGACACTCAACTGGGAGGTGCTACCCCATCCCGCTTATTCACCAGACCTGGCCCCTTCCGACTATCACCTCTTTTCATCAATGGGCCACGCACTTGCTGAGCGGCACTTCGATTCTTACGAAGACGTCCGAAAATGGCTTGATGAGTGGTTTGCCTCGAAAGAGAAGAAATTTTTTTGGCATGGTATCCACACATTGCCGAGAGATGGAACAAATGTGTCACTAGTGAGGGAAAGTACTTTGAATAAATTTGTTTTTGCTTTCTAAGAAAAAAACGTGTGTTTTTCTGACTTAAAAACAGCGGATTTAAGCTTATACACCTATGTAGTCATAGATAAAATAAGAATTTAAATTTTTGTGAAAATTTATCAAATGCATTAATTATTAATAATTTTCCTTTCCTCGTAATCACTGTCCTTTTATTTATATGTTTATTAATATTAAAGTAGTTAGTTAATATTATCTTGTTAGTTGGCTCGCACTTAAAAATCTCAAAATGCATTGTCCATATTTGCTGCCAACTTGAAATAATCACATAATATTGACAATTGGACGATTGAGGCAATTTAAGGTATCAGCCTGTCAGCTGGGAGGCTCAGGATCATATCTGGACAAGTAACCCCAGGAATTTTTCATGAGCGGGATGTCCTTGTTTTGAGGCCTTGCCACCTGGCTGTGTTCATTGTAGGCCTTCTTTTCCTCTGTCCATCACAGACAGAAAAAGAAGGCATACAAGGTAGAGTCAAAAATGAGGGAAATCAAATAATAATTTCCATTTGTTAACAGTTACAAAACTGTTAACAAATGGAAAATATTATTTGATTTCCCTCATTTTTGCAATATTTATTTTCTCGTTACATAGTTTTTATAAACAAAGTATTTTTAATTACTTATTAACTATAAAAATATGTTAGTTCATCTTAATTGAATTTAGGAAATAGTTAGTGAATAGAAATATATGAAATTGATATTTGTTATAATTTAAATTCACTCTTAAAAAATCCAGCAATGAGTTGCATAACTTTCCTGGCAAAAAATTTAAAATTATGGTGGTGCTATCTGTTATGATATTTTATTTAAAAAACATTTTATATTATTAATTATGATATGGCAAAAGTTTAATTTTGAGGCTAGAGTTGAATTTAAAAAAAAATTGTAAATGCTAATAACAAGTAAAATCTTAAGTCCAACTTTATTTGAGATATGGCATGACTTCCCTTTTGATTTTTAACCACTAAAATTTAATAGCATCATCCCCTAATACACAAACCTGCTTGCAAAATTTCATGAATGTTTGACAAAAGGCACAGGAGTTATTAAGCTTCAAAGTAGGTGAACAAAATTGTGCTCTCTCTCTCATACACACAAACAAACAAAAACATCCATACATACAGAAAAAAACCTCCAATTTTTTTTGCATTTGACATTTCAAGGTCCCTGAATCCAAAAATGTAAAAGTATTAGGGGTTTCCATCCTTTCTGCCTGTTATGTATAACAGCCAGGAAAGCAATTATCACTAACTATTGCAATTTGATCTGTTGTAATATTTTAAACAATGATTATATATATAATTGTTAATAGTGAATGCTAAGTGAATATGACTAATGATATATCATTATGCACACAAGTTCAGAACAAGATAGCAGCAGAGAGTAATCATCAGTTCAGCAGTAACTCTTGTATTTCATTTCTAAATTAGAATATACATTACATTACTTTTTTTTTTACCTTCAAGACCCTAAGATCTTTTTCTTGTCTATTACAGACTCAGCCATATACAAAATCAGGGGCCAGATGATGAGGATGGAACCTGACAAATCTAGATTTAACCCTTGAATGAAAATTTGTGAACTGGTCTCAGAGCAGCAGGCTGGTACCTTAATCATTTTTGCCATCTGATCATTGATTTACAGTATCAAACATCAGTATTCATCCATGTATATTATTATTATTTTCTACCACTGTAATTTCTTGTATTCTTCTATATAAAATGAAATTAAAATTTACTGTTTCAGTTATAACTGTTACAATCAATTCTCTATGTGGAGTTTCCAACTTTTGTTTTCAATGAAAGTAAAGAATATTTTTTGATGTTTTAATTTTTCATTAATTATTTAAATTGCATTTATTTAAAAAAATTTTTTCTTTATTGGTGTTTTTATCTCATCCTTTATTTATTCTTTATCTTTTCATTATTTTTTATCTGTAAGATATTTGACTTATAAAATTTGTATTATTTTTTTAGATTTTGTTTAACTCCACAATTTTGAATCAGAAAATATCTATCCATAAATATTAAAAGTAATTCTAAAAGAAAATATTTTCTCTTGTTTCTATTTTCCTTATTTTCATACAGAATATTATTAGATGTAATCAGAATTTTATAATTGGCAAGTTTTATTTGGTTATCTGGCAATATGTATAGTGTATAAAAGTACTATTTGTTCTTTTATTGTGCATTTATTTTAAGGATTTTTGTCTTTAAAATGTGAAACTCTAATATAACAAGTATGTATAAGTAGTGAGCAGCTGCTTTTTTTTAACAAATGAAATATCTATAATATCTATAGTGTTTTTTTTCTTAATGAAAAGCAGTATTAAAGATTTTTGTTAGTAAAAGTAACATTAATTTAGAGGGATAGGAACCACTAATAGCCTGTAAGTTTTGTCCAGGCTCTTAGTGTCCCTTTTAGTTGCTTGACAAAATGTCCTTTTCAGTTGCAACCCTTTGGCAGAAAAGTGTGATTTTTCTTGTTTCTATGAGTGAAAAAGCAACCAATGTTTCGTCAAGATATCACAGATATCCAGTGGACTGTGACAAATGAGCTAACAAGCATCACACTTGAAGCTTTCTCTGCTTGCTTCCAAGACCTCCAGAAACTGGCAATTTTGTATAGATAGCTAAGGGGGGGACTATGTTGCCAGGAGCTATGATCATTACTTGGTAATTGTAATTTTCTATTTTTGTGAGCTTTGGAACTTTTCTGACAAGGGGTGTATTTTAATTAATTTGGCATTTTGCTGTAATTCTGTAATTTAAAAAATTGTCTAAGAAACAGTAATTGCAGTTTCAAAATGATACATATAGTGTAATAGTGCCATATTTGGCTTCAAAGAAAGTATAACTCTCTTTGAAGCCAAAATTGTATAATGCTTGTAAAGATTAACTATTGGTTAGCATTATCCCTTACAGCATGCCCAGGCAGAGATTGACCCTAATGAGAATTTACTGTTTAAATGTATATAGGAATGTTTAAAGAATATGTTTGAAACAGAAATTTAAATTCATAATTTTATTGATTTTTCAATGGTATATTATTATAAATACTGCATTTCAAAATTTCTGGAAGGAATAAAACTCATTCCATCACAAAATAAGATTTATACATTTAAAATTATTTTAGAAAAGAAAAAGTATTAAGTGAATATATAAATTTATAAAAATAACTATTTCATGAATCTAAATACATAATTTTCAATAGGAATTCAGTTTCCTAATGAACATTTACTAAAAAAAATAATTTGCTAATTTTCTTAATAGTCTTTCAGTGATAAACCTAAACTTACACTATTAAATTTACATATTCAAATAATATATATATTATGCAGTAGAATCTTGGTATGAGGTGAACCTGTAAGTGAACACACTACATTTCTTATACTATAATTTATAAAAGAAAGTTTAAATCAAAAACATATATTACAGGATGTTTTGTTTCTGTTACTGTTTATCATTTAACTTCAAAGTGAGTCAAATCATTCCTATTAAAACTTAATTATGATAACACACATTTTTTATTCTTACAACTATTGTATGTGTTAGCTGTATAATAAATGATGTAAGACATATTGCTGTTATACAGGATTAAATTAATTAAGGTATATAAAGAGACTTATAAAAGATTTATATGATATATCACTTTTATTTGTAAGTTTTAATCCAAAATGGCTGTGACCATCTGTTTAATTCATCTGAGTTTTCATTTATCTAAGATAGCATCAGTCTATACTATCTTGGATAATCAGGATTCTGCTACATAACATTTTGTTATAAAAAATTTTATTTATAAACTGAGATATTACTTTTAATAATTCTATATATATATATTTTTTTTTTCTGTTTAGGAAAAAGAACTGAAATTAGAGAGAGATTTTATATATAGTAACAGACTGCTAAAGTATCCTAGTAATAATAATAGTAGGGCTTCAAAAAATAAAAAGGATGTTGAGACTATTAATTCAAATTCAAAATCCAGATTAAATGAATCAGCTGAAAAGAAAAACCATTTGGAAATGTCACAGGAAGAGGTATGATAGAATAAATTATATTTGAATCAAATTTCTATGATGTATTTTGAATTTACAATGTTATTAGATATTCAATCTTCCAAATACAGTACATACAATGTTAATACATTGTATATATTTGAAATTCCAATTTCTTTTGTTTGCTTCAGATATTTCTCTACCTTTTTACAGTTCTCAAGAATTAGTATCTAGTAAAATCCATAAAAATTTTACCTAGTATCTGTCTCATTACAGAATTTTCACCAAAATATATATACATTTTTGCTACTTTTCTGTATTTTTGTATATACATGAGTTATCTCGAAATTAAAGTTTTAAAAAATTGAAATTTTGAGGTCATTTCATCTGTCCTTAAAAGTGTTTGTTTAAAAACAACAGAAAATATTACAATATCATTTTATATTAGTGATGAATAATCGATTGATGTAATCGTCTTTATAACACAAAATTTCATTTATATAAAAGTAATAAGACTAGCAATTAAATATTCTGTAATCCAACTTTTTTACAGTGGTTTTTTTTTTCTTAGTGAGATTTATGTATTGTATTCCATTGGTTCCTTTGTCTGGAAATTAAGTGAAGATTATCAAATTCTATCATCTGTTAAGATTTGTAATATAAAAAATAAAAATTTTATTTGCAGTTTCAGCTGTTTCTATATAGCATTTGTACGAAAAGTTGTAATGTAATGTTAATAAAGTTATATAAAATATTTATATTATTTAATTAACATATTTTATTTAGCTTTAGTAATATTGGTTTAAAAATCAATACTAGCATTATACAAAATCTGATATATGTCTTTTAAATTTTTCAGCTCTATTTATCAGTCAATTTGTCCCAAAATATGTAATTATTAAAAACAATTTGGCTTAGTTTTAGTCTCTCTTTCTATTTGTTTAATATCTCAAAAAATTTTTTTTAATTTTCTGTTTACAGTAAATAACAAAATTTATGTTTGCTGTTTAATCTTATAACTTCAATATATGTGGTTCCAAACAATAATACTAAATTCTAAAATATTCTGTTTCTGAAGACACTCTGTCCAAAAAGGAACCACCATTTTCTAGCACTCATTTCCAGTAGATAAAAGCCTTAACACCCCAAGAAGGTATGGATTGAAGCAAGAAAGACATCTGTATGTCACCAGTTCCTTTTTTAGAAATTCTTGTAATTTTAATTGGATATTTTTTGTGTTTTTAAAAGGACTTTTTAACTTCTGGCACCAGTAGCCTAAAAAGAAAGGTCAGTTGCCAAGAAAGTGTGTAGTCTGGAACATGAGATAAATAAATGGTGGTTCCTTTTTGGACAGACTTTGTCTTCAGATATTTAATTATTTGCTATTCAGACAAAAATTTACAAATCTAAAATATTCTTTTAATGTTTACTTCTTATATGTTATGAAAGGGATTAATTATTTTTATTAATACTAGATATGAGAATAGTAAAGGATAAATTTATTTATGAGATTTATGAAAAGAAATAAGATGTGAACAGTTTAAATAGTAAAAATAAAGATTCAAGTAATGATTTCTTAGAAATTATTCTAACATAGAAATGATATATTAGAATGTTAATATGATGAAATTTGCAGAACATTATGACAAAGAAATTTGAAATGAAAGAAAGTTTAAGTAAAAGAAATGAGAGTATTTTGATAAAATTTGTAATTTCCAGTAGTCTAGCATTTTCTAAAAAGTAGCCAATAATCCAGCATGCAGGTGTTCTGTTAATTGGAATTTATTCAGACACATGGTTTTTACATAAAAAAAAACTTCTTCTGGAAATAAAGTACATTTGAAAAATAAATATTACATGTTCACAAATCATTATGAATGTTGGTTTTGTGCAATAATGAGTTCATTAATGTTTTTGCATGTTTTTCAATTAATCTTAACACATAGTCATGTATTATATTATCAACAGACATGTTAAAGAGCATGCATACACAAATCAGAAGCACAGACCAGCAGACACTTGTACAAAACAAGTAACAATGTTTGCAACATTCAGATAGCATATAAATTATGGAATTTTGCAAAAATAGAAAAATGTCTGGTATTTCAGCATTTTCAGCACTCTGGCATCAATCTGATCTGTAGATGCTGGATTAATTAACTGTTGCTGTATATATTTAAAAAATATGTTAACTGCTACTGTATATATCTTTCATAGAATGTGAATTGTCCATCATATCTTTAAATTTCATATTGCTTAGGGAACCTAAAAATATATTATTTTAATTATCTGAAAATACATTACTTGAAAGACTGCTGTACATATGAAATCATACATCATCTAACTTTAATTAACTGCATAATATACATTAATGTAAATAAATAATGCAAGCCACTTATTTATATCATTAGACAATGTTATTAGATTTTATATACATTTTATGACTATGCATAATTTCATATTATAGTTTATTTATATTAAAATATTTATTTTGTAAGAATGAATTTATAAATATTTTTTTAATGTCTACAATTGTTGATTTAAATTCAAAACTATTAAGAAGTAGCAAAAATTTAGAGAATAATTCTTAAATTAGACAAAATTATAATTTTTTATAATGAAATAAAATTTTATAATCATTGTTAATCCATATTATTGTCATTTTTCATCTTTTTATATACAAATTATAAATTACAGAGAGGGAGAAATATCTTTGATTATACAAATAGTATATAATTATCTCTCTATTTGCGAATTAACATTTTTATTTACACCCATAGAAATTTTTAAAAGGTAGAAAAAAAATATTTTTGAAGAATATTAACTTTCATATATGATATTTTATTCCAGAATTTTTAAAAAAATTTTTTGTATATATGAATATGATACTACTAATGAAAAATGACAAGTTCCTTTGTTTTAATCAAGTCAGAGTTACTTTTTTCTCACTTTAATTAATTCTGATTTACAATTTCTTAACAATTTATAAAGAAAAAAAAACATTTTAAACAAAAAGAATTTTTAAGAATTTTATTTTATTTTGATTTTATCAATTAACCTACATCTTGCCCAAGATCTTAGAAACCTTATTTGTACTGTTTTCAATCTTCTAATATCTTTGTTCTTAATGTCCAAGTTTCATATTCATGTAATATATAATGTCACAAATTTAAGTAAAATTATTTTAAGCCAATGTTTGTATATTCTTTACAATAAAGAATTAAAATTTTTAAAAGAATATACAAAAGTCTATTACATTAAACCAAAAATACAATTATACATTTGCATTTTACATGTAATTTTTTACATTAATAGGAATTTTTGATTTTATATTTTAATATTTTACAAATTAAATTTAATTTTAGTTTTTAAAATTATTATATTTAAAATCATATAAACTTATATAAAATATCATTTTTATAGGATGTTACAAAGGAAAATGAAGGTGAATTCAAAACAGACAGTTATGAATGTCTGTCAGCAGAAACTTCTGAAGACAGACAAGAGTCATTATTTGAGTTTTCATCAGAAAAAAAGTCTGTAATTAATAATAATTTAGATGATTCAGATTTAAATCTTAAGTTAACATCTTCAAGAGGATTAAATTCTTCAATGTCGGCTAATGATAACAAGAAAGTTAATCATTTTGGACCTGTTTCTAATAGTGGACCTAAAAGCAAGGAATATGAAGATGATAAAGTTAATTCTGCAGGTAGTAATGTTTCATATAAATTAAATGAAAAATTAGATGACTACCTAACAAAAACTAGCAGTGGTAAATCTAAAGGACTAAATGAGGATAGGATTAACTCTATGAGTGATAATACATCAGATCACTTTAATGAAATAAAACCAGACAAAGATCAAAAAGATGCACTGCTAACTGAATCTCAAACATTAAGTAAAGAAGAATCTAATGAGGATGAAAATCAAAATTTTGAAAACTTGTTGAGAAAGAGATCTTCAAGTACGCCACGTGGTTATTTAAAAGCTTATTTAAATGATGTAGAGAAAGAAGAAAATGAATATTCTTTTTATGAAACATCTTCATCTAAAAATAACAAGAGAGATGTAAATGAAAATCAAGAAAAATCAACTTTAATTGAAGAACTGTTTGGCTCACGCAGTCAACAATCTTCCTCACTTGGTGCTGAAGATAATGATTTTCTCAAGCAGCTATCACCAATAAAAAGTTCATGTAATGAGTTTAAGTCACACAGTTTTGATTATCAAGACAATTTTGAACATCTTAATGATTTACATAAAAATTTGGATGAACATGATTCATCAAATCATATTTCTCAACTCTTTCAACAATCTGTAAACTTGACTGAAACTTCCATAAGTAAAACAAGTTCAGAAAATATTTTCCGAAGAAATTCTAGACACCAACACAGTTATGTTGATTTTTGACAACTCTGATACTTAATCAAAAAAATTTTTTTGTATAATGCTTATTGAATTTGTTTGGCATAATTAGTATTTATATTAATATATATTATTTATTTTATTTTCACATAAAAATTTTATTATGTGATTTATTTATTCAAGTCTTTCATTGAAATATATATTTATTAAAAATGAGTTTTTAAACATGTATTGTTGTTAAAAATTATTAAATTTAATAAAGGAAATTACATTTTTAAATTGGTCCGAAGTTGATTAATTTTTTTATACAGGATACTTCAAAAAATGTTTTAAAAAACACAAATATGAAAATAACATTATGCCAAATTTATAGTGGCAGATTGCCTTCATCTTGTCTAAGAAGTTGTGACACAATTGTGGGGTTCTCAAAAAAACAAACTACCTTACTATTTTTGTTGCATTGACTACGCACCTCCATATAAGTGTTAACATTTTTTTTGAAGCACACTGTATGTATTTAATTGACATTAACATTAGATATTTTATACCTTGGAATAATTATTACAGATGAAACTAAACTATTATCAAAGGGTGTCCCTAAGGTTAAACTGGAGCCTTAAGGACATCTTCCATAAGAATAAAATGAATGTATGTTTTTTATTATATGAGTGAAGATACAAATGTTAATTTTTCAGTAAAGATTAAGACATTGTTTATTTGCCAGATTATAAATTTAGCTACTCAAAAATCATAAAATGAAAGTTGGTCATTATATTTTAACAAAATTGGATAAAGATGTATTTAATTTCAGCAAAAAATTTTCACAATTTTACAGGAAAAATGAATCAAAGGTTAGAATATTATCCATTTCAGAAATTAGATTAACAAATGACAAGGAGTTTTTAGAAGGGTTAATTAGAGTAAGCCACCAGAACAATCTTATTTCATATTTTTCTTTTTTTTATATATAAGTAAATTTGAATTTTTATGCAAAGTACAATACTAAATGTCAGAAATTATTCCACTAAGAACAGAAAACATTAAAATAATCAAATGGAACAACAGTAACAGTTGGGCAGTTTGTGGGGCCATATAAAGGAATTATTTCTGAGACCCTTCATCTTCAGAAACATTTAAAATCTTTGCGCATTTTGCTTTACACACATTTATAGAAGAGCTCCTCTTTTAGCTCTTGCAAGACAAGACCTCTTGCATATATTTAGAGGTTCAGCAAATTAACATTGGTTCACAAGGAAATACCAAAAAATATTTCAAAAACTAACCAACCAAGAAACTTTTTTTTGCTGAATTATTGTGTATTTTATTTTCTAATAGGATAAAAGGTTAGAAGTTTATGAAAAAAATATGAATTTAATTATATAAAAATGAACTTATTAAAGAAAAATGATTTTCTTTGATAAAATATTTCATATAACCAATATTTAACTAAACAAATATAAATCACAATTAACTGAATTTCTGAAAGTTTGTGTGTTTTATTTTTGTTTATGCATAAAGAAATAAAATTATTTAATGGAATTTTCTCTTATTTACTTTACTAATTTAACAAAATATTCATTAAATTACAGATAATTTAATACAGTATTCATAAATTTTTTAAAAATATTAGTAACAAAGATGAACAAAAACAAAATCCTTCATTTTCCAAAAATAAATTGTACAGTTTCTTTTATTAGCAATGAATTTAATAGAAAGAAACTTCAATTTAATAAAAATGTAATATAAATTGAAGGATGACAGCTTGACCAATAGCTTTGAGGGATCCGGGATCAAAATTTGGACGGGTCAAAAAACCCAGGGAATTTTTATGGGGTGTTATCATAGTATAAGAGACAAGTAGTATCGTATGAGGTAAAGGTCTGTCCCCTAAGTTAATCTGATTATTGATGAAATGTAAACAACATTCGTATTACACACTGTAATTTTCAATACGTTTGTTAATTAATTACAAAATAATGATGGTTGGAAAAGCAATCATTTTCCGACCATTTAGCGATTCTACAAATTTTGATATATAATATAAACGAAAATATTAACTACCCGACACCTTTTATGTATGAAAATTTTAATAGAACTTCTATACAATTTTGTAACACTACACAGTAAAAAGGGACCAGCCTCTAGTGAAACTATTTGTCGCTTATACTGTAGTGGTAGTCCTCGTATAACACGGTTTGAAAATTGGGGATATCCCCCGTACAACACGATTTCCGGTTTCGTTCTAACAGGGGTTTGGAAATCCTCCGTACAAAATTTCATGATTTTTAAGTATGAACTTCGTTATTCGATATATTTTTTTCTTCTTTTTTTACCCATGGATATTAGAATATTGAAATTTTCAAGTTAATTTGTGCTTTTCGTCAGGTTTAAGTTACTTTAATGAAAACTGATAGTGCAATTTTTTTCTTCCTTGTCCTAACTTTCCTATCAATCAGATGATGTTACTGTTCATTTGTAAAATTGGCGAACGAAATACAGCGGTATCTCGGTACTCGAACAATTCGGTATTCGAACACAAATTCTGGAAAAAAAGTCGCTCGGTACTCGACAGAACAAACGCGACCTACTAGAGCAAATTTTCAATTAATAACATATTTTTAGTTTTATTTCGTCATCCATAAAAACTTTTTTATGATAAAAATAAATAGTATGAAAATGTTGCCAATACTTCTGATCAAGATCAACAAAAAAGCCGAAGCGAAGACGATACAGGTAACACCCGTATAACACGGTAGTTACGTTCCAAAAAATTGCCGTGTTATGCGAATCCGTGTTATACGAAACAAAGAACTAATACGAAAAGGAGGGTTAGGTTAAAAATGAAGTCTTGTTTAAATACTGGCCTCCCTTCTATGGTTGAGCCCATGTTGCCAGCTAAAACACGCAAAAATTTAACAAAAATAATATTAAAGTAGCCAAGACATAGCCAAATATTGTAGTGCCACATCATTAACGGACATTTGAAATTTGCCGACTAGAACACTCGGTTAACCGATGTGACAGTTAATCGGGGGTCGGATAATCGATGCTCTACTGTACTTTTATTTGCACTTTAATTTTGAGGATAGACGACAGCAGAGGAGAGGGAGAAAGGAAATGATACTAAAACTTAACTTACATAACATAATGTAACAATAACTTAAAAATAACTTAGATAAGATAACACTAATTGTTTAGTTTTATATATTTTTTTAAACTTTTTATTCACGGCTTTTTTCTTTCTTTCCTTCACTTTCACTGGATAGAAGTCACTTGGTAAAAATGTCTATCCAAAGAGGTTTGGCTTTTTCTACTTTTTAAAATGTTTCTAAAATGACTTAGGTAAATGTCATTAAACTGAGCAGCAATACGGCCAGTGTGAACCTTTTTGGGATGTTTCTTTTCAATAAAATTGGTTACTTTCTGATAATACCTCAAGATTTCCTATTATTGAGTGAGAAGCAAACACGCAGACTGAGACCGATGAACAGAAGGAACACGTGATCATGGCCGTGGCACTGCAAACTAATGTAACGTTGTATGGTGAGTTTTTGTTCATACTGTGGAGCAAAAATATGCTCGAATTTCATATACTGAAACATTCATATCCTGAGATACTACTGTACAAGTGTTGAAAATGCAACCACTTTTTTTTGTTGTCAAATAAAGTTCTTGTAGGCAAATGATTGCTTTTCATTTCTGCTGATTGAATAAGGAGACCCAGTAATGCCTTTATTTCATAGGTCGAGATATGAGAAATGGTCTTGGTGTCCATTTTGTACTTACTTCTATTTATATCAATTTCTGCATTGGTGTAGCAAACCATGTCGTTGATCATTTCCTCAGAAACAAAAAAATCTTGCAGGTTTGATATATCTCTAACTTGATTGACAGGAACAGGTATAAAGTTAATAATATTACGAGCAGCTGTATGAGTGCAAGAACTGTGTGGATTTGTGGACCATTTGTGTTTATTCTTACTATATATGAAATTTTTATGGGATGAATTACAAGCGATGGATTGTGTTGTGAATGTGGTTACTGATGCGCAGGTAGCTGCAAAGCATCGTCATCAGAGTCAATAATAAATCTTCGATTAAAGTTTTGGCAAGCAATATTCAGTTCCTCATCCGAAGATAACGCAGATTCTTGCTCACTTTCATCAGTTAGGATATCAATTTCTTCTTCACAGTTATCTTCTTGTTTGGAGCTTGTTTGTATTTCATCCTGCTCTTCAATTGTTTCATTGTCCAATTCATTCAAAAACTGCAAAATTTTCTCTTGATCTATTCTTGAATCCATCTTTCATAAAAAATATTTAGGATAGTAATAAAATGCAGGAAAAATGCCAAAATACTCACATTGAATTACCAACGATTGTCTTGAAAGATTGGGCTATAATTCAACTAATTAAATGATTATTATAATTTGTCACTAGAGGTAGACGTTAGGTGTCATCTCATATTATTTATATACTCACATTGGCTGATTATGGTATTAATGCAAACTACTGCATGTTATCACGAAACATCTGACTGTTAGACGACGATTATGGCAAATTGCGAAAAGTAACAAGTGTACAGCTGTGCTTATTACTTTTGAATAACTCATTTTACTATCTGTGAGTGAGGTTGTGTGAGCACAATGGGAACATCTCAAACTTGCAAAACTGGCAGGGGTAGGTAGTCTATTAGATGAATGTTTAGTTATCTAATTTAATTAAATTGCATTCAAACACAACTAAAAACAGACTCCAGTATGCATTTCAACAACAATAAAAATTAAGTCTTCTTCAACTGGTATTAATTTGCAACTTTTTTAATTAACTGATGCACAACACAGTAGCTTTCTAATGGTGTTAAATATTGTAAAAAGTATCTACAACCCTAAAATTAACATAAAGTACATTCCTTTCTTGATACTCTGTCAATTTTGTTTGTTTTTTTACAACTGTCTCCCTCCAGTAAGTATGACAGACTGCCATCCACTATCCTAGGTTATAGTGCAAAATGTTGATGTGGTGTATGATAATTAATTAAACATTTGATTAGGACTTAATGCCTTTTTGTCTATATTTAGCTGATTAACAATAACGTTGCAATAGACTTTGAAATTTAATTAAAAGTGAGTTAGTTTATAACAATTAGCTAGTTTCCATTATTAAAATAGTAATTTTT